AGCCGCGAGGTGCGCGAGCGCTGGCCGGTGTGTGCGTGGGCGCCACGCTCGGCCCCTCGGAGCCGCCGAGACCCAGCGCGTACGCAGCTCAGGCCCGCGGGCTCGCGCGCCCGGAGAGGCGATGACCGCCGAGGAGATGAAGGCGGCCGAGAGCGGGGCGCAGTCGGCGCCGCTGCCCCTGGAGGGGGTGGACATCAGCCCCAAACAGGACGAGGGCGTGCTGAAGGTGAGGGCGCGCGGCGTGGAGCCCGGGGCCGAAGCTCTGCTGTGTTCCGGGCGGAGCGGGACGGCGGTCGGGACCTCGGCGGGTGCGCATCGGGCCAGGCCTGTCCCGCGCGACGCCGCCCCGATCGGGCTACGCCAGGAAGTCCCGGGGCCGCCCACCTGGGACTTGAGCATTGGCTGGAACGGGAGCTGCTCCCGGGATCGTGTCCTGGCCCAGAGCCCTGTGTGCTGCTGGGCGATCGGGCCTGGTCGAAAAATCCCGCAGCGCTCCGGGGCCCTTTCCCCAACGCCGGGATCCAGCGAGGTTGCCGGCTCCGCCATGCTGTGCCCCTCATCCCCGGGGAGCTGCAGCGGTGCATGCCGGGACCTGTAGTTCCCCCCCAACCCCCCCCTTACCCCCCCCTCCCCGCGCTGCCGCCTTCCAGAGTTGGGGCTTCGGGGTGCGAGGCGGGAAGGAGCCCTTTGCTTTGGAGTCCTCTACTCAGGAACCGCCTGACTACCAACAGCCGGAGGAGCCAGGGGAAGGATGCTTCTGGACCTGGGTCAGAACTACTGGCTGTGGTTCGAGGAAGGTTCTGCCAGGAGTTCAGGGTGGTGAAATCCTATCCTGCATTGCAAGCTCTCCTGTCCATTGTTTCTCCCTGTGGCTCGCCACTGCGCAGTCCCACACAAATGTGGCCTGTGCAAAGCCAAAGACCTCAGCCGTACCTTACCTGATTCAGGAATGCATTTGCTTTTGCCGCAGGGGCTTGTGTTCTCTGCCCAGCTGCTCTCCTGTGAGCACGTGGCTTTGCCTTCTCTCTCTAGCTTGCTGTTTCCTCCAAGGTTATGGTTCTAGGAAGGGTCATTTCTCCTTTGATTCTCCACCCCAACTCTTTCAGTCTTTAACTCCTGAAGGCACCCATGTATTCTGTCCTGGAAGATTTCCCTTAGAGGGTAGCCAGATGCTCACCAGGAATCCTGTGGAGTCACCCTTTACAAATGCTAAAGGAAAGAAACAGAGCCTGTGCTTCCCTGAGAAATACACTGGTCCTGAAATGAACTACTCAGCCTTCCAGGCAGGAAAGCTCATGTCTGGAGCAGAAATCCAGAGGCCTGATGAAGAGCTTTTGTGCTTGTCTGTAACTGGGCATTTCCTTTTCCCAGTTTTGAACTGTTCTGTTCTCTTTATTGTTCATATTCCCGTCATTCTTACTCTTTATCCAAGGTAGAAAGGCTCAGCTAGACCTGATCACTGGCGTTTAGAAGGAATGAAAAAATATATTAAGACTTACTTCTTTGCTGCTAATTCATGACCGTAACTTTTCTTTTAGTGTTTGGTTGGTTTTGCCTTAAAAACTCCAGGAGACAGGGATTATCATCACTGCTTTACAGTGACGGTCCAGAGAGTTAATGTTTATCTAGAACCATAAGCAAAAACTTGGAACTCGGGTTTTTTTTATTTCATATTTTTCAAAGTCTTGCTGCACTTTAAGGAAGACTAGGAGATGGAGTGTAGTAGCATATGTCTGTAATCCCAGTTACTTGGGAGGCTGAGGCATAAGGATCATAAATATGAGGCCAGCTGGGGCATTAGTGAGATCCTGTTTGAAAAACTTCGAAGGCCCGAGGCTGTAGCTCAGTAGTATAGTGCTTGCCTAGCATGCCTGAGGACCTGGGTTCAATCTCCAGCACCATAAAAAGATGGAGAGGTGTTTCCTGGCCACACTAATAGCAGAATCATCTGATGATTGGTCCCTTAAATCTGCTTAGGGGAGGCACATAAGAATGGACAGGAACCATTAGGTTCCTCTAGGAAGCTTGCAGGCAGTTTGTAGCTCCTTTCTGCACTCATGCCTGGGTACTCACTTTATCCTCCTTCCCAGGTCATCAAGAGAGAGGGTACAGGCACAGAGACACCCATGATTGGGGACCGAGTCTTTGTCCACTACACTGGCTGGCTATTAGATGGCACAAAGTTTGACTCCAGTCTGGACCGCAAGGATAAATTCTCCTTTGACCTGGGAAAAGGTAGGCATGGTCACTGGGCTTGTGGGATAGGCTTTGAAGGGGATGAAAAGTGCCACAAGCAGAAATTGTGTTCACAGCAGTGAGTTCTAAGAGGGATGGATCACAGTACGTTATTCTCTATGACTTTTTCATCTGCTGTTCTATAACTGTATTGATTTGTCTTTCCCTTTCCTCATCAACTCAGCATCTCACTGTTCAAGGATAGACTGTCTTGCTTCTTGAGCTTCTTTATTCCAGGGTTAAGTGGTATTTTTAGAGTTCTGAGACCTGGTAGCATTTGATACACACAAGCTTCTTGTTGCATTTCTAAAGGGTGTTCAGCTTCCTGTTAGGTGTGTTACAGTAACTCTCTTTGGGGACATGGTTTGGGGTCAGAGTCAGACCTCTGCTAAGGGGGTCCTGTTTTTCTCTGCCTACAGGGGAGGTCATCAAGGCTTGGGATATTGCTGTGGCAACCATGAAGGTTGGGGAGCTGTGCCGCATCACCTGCAAACCGGAGTATGCCTATGGGTCAGCTGGCAGTCCTCCAAATATCCCCCCCAATGCCACCCTTGTGTTTGAGGTAAGTGTCCAGCCACAAAGACCCAGGCAGAGAGCCAGGCTTTATCTCAGCCCAGTGGCTGGCTGCCCTCCAGCCCTTCCTGCCTCTTGGAGACAATGTTGCTAAGGCTGAGGGCCTGGCCCTAGAAGAACTGGAGAGGGCAGCTGGCTCTGCTCCTGCTGCTGCCAGAAAGTGGCCAGTAGTGGAGGCTTCAGCTGAAAGAGGGAGCCATGAAGATCTTCTAGACAGACGCAAGGTCAGGGGTTGTAGCATTCTCCTTACTGAAAGAAGTCAGGAGAGAGAAGGTATGCTGTTGTAAAGAACACACAGACGGCCGGGGGTAGAGCTTAGCGGCACAAGTGCCTGCCTGGCAAGCACAAGGTCCTGAGTTGGATTCCCAGTACCAAAAAAAAAAGAACACACAGAATATTGTGCCCTTAGGGCTCAGGAGGAGAGATGCCTTCCCATAGGTCACAGATGCACAGATTGAGAAGACTTCTCTGAGGAGATGGCAAGCCAGGCAGTAGGTGCCAGAGAATATTCAGGAAGACTGCTGAGGAATACTAGGTCATTTCCGATGCCTACCACATTGGGTTTCTTGTGTCCTCGTTAAGTGGAGCAGAGTAACACAGATTGTTCGGAAGTTGGCTGAAGTCCATGTGACCTGTGTGCCTCTGCCAAAGTGGATGCCAGGGCAGCTCCCAGGAACTTGGCAGAAGTGCCACCATGACTCCTCGTGTGACTATCGCTTGGACAGACCTGTCCTGGCAGTACTAGAGACTTCTGGATGAAAGAAGTTGCTGATTTAGTGCAGGAAGCATTGGTCACCTTGCAATTGTCCCACAGGTGGAGTTGTTTGAGTTTAAGGGAGAGGACCTGACTGAGGATGAAGATGGTGGAATAATCCGAAGAATACGGACTCGGGGTGAAGGCTACTCCAGGCCCAATGACGGCGCCATTGTGGAGGGTGAGACAGTATGGTCTGAAGAGTCTTCAGTTTGAATTCTGCTTCTTACATTTAGGCTGTAGTTGGCTTTGGGCAAGTCACTTCCTTTTTCTGGGTTTGTTCTTTTTTATCTATAAAATGAGGTATTGGGCCATACTCTCTTAACATCTCTCTGGGTCCAAGAACGTAACAGGGATACTGTGAGGGCAAGCAGTGATAGGGAGATGTAGGTAGGCTGATACCACCCTTTCTCAGTGTGCTGCCCTCTCAGACTGCTGGTTCATTGCCTCTCTTTCATGCCAGTCGCACTGGAAGGGTACTACAAGGACCAGCTCTTTGACCAGCGGGAGCTCCGCTTTGAAGTTGGCAATGGAGAGAGTCTGGACCTTCCCTGTGGGCTAGAGAAGGCCATTCAGCGCATGGAGAAAGGAGAACATTCCATTGTATACCTCAAGCCCAGGTGAGCCATAGACACTTTGCCAACCAAGGTCAGAGACCTGGGTGTCCACGGTGAGTGATATAACTGGCCATTTATGTTCACTTCCCTTCATCTGTTTGTTGCAACTCTCGGAGCACCAGATTTAGAGCACTGTGACCCCTGTTGAATTAGAAGTGTGGCTATACGCTTTCCGTGGATCGAAGCCTAGTCCTTGTCCTCTTATGCCAACATTAAGATCTGCAGCTGCTTCCAGAAAGTGGCCAGTAGTGAAGGCTTCAGGATGGAAGAGAGGGCCATGAGGTCCTTCCAGACAAAGCAGGTTCAGGGGTTCAGGCATTTTCACTGAAGAAAAAGTGTGCTGTTACAAAGAAAATACAGAATATCATACGCTAGAGTTCAGAAAGGAAAGATGCCTTACCATAGGTCACAGATTGAGGAAAAGCTTCAATTTGATGAAAACATCCTTTTTTGAGACATTCCTACTATGTGCCAGACACACTGCTGAAAGTTGCCAGGGGTTCAGAGCTAACATCATTCTTGCCTTCTAGTGACTCGTTCACTAGAAGTCAGTGACCACATTACCATGTGATTAAGAGTTATGAGAAGAACGTGCAAGATGCTACAGGACCACCTAGTTGTATAAAGAGGTTAGGGAAGATTTTGCCAAAAAGGGAACATTTGAATCAGTTCTCAGGAGACGGTAAGGCTCTTTCCTGGAAATGAACAGGAAGCCTTTTCAGCGTGGAGCAGGTTAAGGGCTGCCGAGATGACCCAAAGGTTGTTTTCACCCCTACAGGTATGGTTTTGGCAGTGCTGGAAAGGAGAAGTTCCAAATCCCACCAAATGCTCACCTGAGATACGAGATACATCTCAAGAGTTTTGAGAAGGTAGGTTTGGTCAAGGCTTTCTTCCTCTAGATTCGGTTCTGCTCTACCGATGACTATAGGGACACTGATCATTTTGTCTCACCCCTGGGTTACGGCAGGCTAAGGAGTCTTGGGAGATGAATTCCGAGGAAAAGCTGGAACAGAGCACCATAGTGAAAGAGCAAGGCACTGTGTACTTCAAGGTGAGCCAAGAGCCACACTCAGGACAACCCAGTGCGGGCTGCTGTGGGCCAACCCTTTCCTTGCAGCCTTCACCGAGTATATCTGACTGAGCCTATTGATACTGATAGGGAGAGGGGTGGCGACCGGAGTTTGTGTCTGCAGCTCATTCACTGTACTGGGTATGGCAGCCTCACGCTACTGGGCATCTAAATCTGCCTCCCATTCTAGGAAGGCAAGTACAAGCAGGCTTTACTGCAGTATAAGAAGATTATATCCTGGCTGGAATACGAGTCAAGTTTTTCTGATGAGGAAGTACAGAAGGCACAGGCCCTTCGACTGGCCTCCCACCTGAATCTGGCCATGTGTCATCTGAAGCTGCAGGCCTTCTCAGCTGCCATCGAAAGCTGTAACAAGGTACGGTCCCTTTAAAGGGCACAGCGATGACATTCACAAGCAGACTTAGGTGAGCTGCCAGTGTCTGAGTCTTGCTTTTGGTGACCGGGGTGGGAACAGAGGGATATATTGATAGGAGCTCTGAAGTCACAGAGCCCACAGACCCAGAGGCATGAGATGCCAGTAGCACTTTGACTTTGCGGTGTGGAGCAGTTAGGACAGAAGTAGAAGCAAGCACTGCATAGGAAAAACTAAAGAGTTTTCTATCCTGATTCTTAGTCCACTTCCTCATTCTCACCCGCTTTTCTCTAAAAATAATGTAAATTCAGAGGTCTTTCTTTCATCCAAAATACGGTGTATTCCCATTCTTCTTGGACTACATGAGTTTCTTCCTACACCTGGATCTTTTTCATTTAATTCCCAAACCTTGCTCTGGACTAGCACCAGCCATTTCTCTTCCTGCTGAGGGGTCCCTGTGGAACCCTGCAAGGCCAGGGAAGCTATAGCACGCCAAGTCTTGCCCTGCCAGTTCTTCTCTGCGTTCTCAGGCCCTGGAGCTGGACAACAACAACGAGAAGGGCCTCTTCCGCCGAGGAGAGGCCCATCTGGCTGTGAATGACTTTGACCTAGCACGGGCAGACTTCCAGAAGGTCCTGCAGCTCTACCCCAGCAATAAAGCAGCCAAGACGCAGCTGGCTGTGTGCCAGCAGCGGATCCGCAAGCAGCTTGCACGGGAGAAGAAGCTCTATGCGAACATGTTTGAGAGACTGGCTGAGGAGGAGAACAAGGTGAGCACTGGATGGGGCATACTGGAGTGAACAGAAAAAGGTGTTTCTTGTCCTGCTTCTCAGCCCAGCTAGTACGAGCTGATTGTGCCAGTTCCAGAAACTAGAGTTGCTGTCTTCTTAAAAGCAGGAACGTGTATTCCCTCAGCAAGGACTCCTACTGATGGAGCTCTTTTACCTTTGTGAGCAGGGTTGGAACCTATCCATACACACCAGGAGTCAGGAGTTGGCTCAGCTTTCTGTTCCCTTTTGTGCTTGGGGTCTCCTTTTTCTCTGAGTGCTGTGTAATCCAGGCTGGCCTCAAACTCATGACTCCCTGCCTCAGCCTCCTGAGTGCTGTGATTATAGATCTGTGCCACCATGTCTGGCTTTGTGTGTAGTCTTTGAAAGGCTTCAGATGCTTGGCGAGTGGGGGTGGTGTCTAGAGACTGAACTCAGGGCCTCAAGCATGCTAAGCCTTACTCCCCCACTGCCATACATCTCAGCCAAGGGGAGGAGGGGCTGTTTACATAAGTAATATATTTATATAGAGCTAGGTATAGTGTTACAAACTTGTAATTCAGGCACTCTGGGAGGCTGAGGCAGGAGGGTTGGAAGTTTGATCCCAACCTGGGCAACTTCTTTACTTAGCAATACCCCATCTCAAAATAAAAAATGGAAGAAGAACTGGGGGTATAGCGCAGTGTGAAGGCCCTGAGTTCAGTCCCCTTACCACAAAAACAAAGTGCTGGAAAGGGTATATGTAACAGAAAGTCTGCCTCTCTCTAAAGCATGTGATTGTGCACCAGAACTTGTCATTCCACTCCTAATACTTTCACACACAAATAGACCCATTAGTGAGGCTTTTAAGGCAACATGCACTAATTCCCATACTGTGTTTTTTTACATAATGACTGAATGCTTATTTTACATGAATATTTAAAAGAGCTTTTACATTTTCTCTTATGTTTATGTAGTATTCCACTGTATGGAAGTAGCATATGTTATTTAACCAGTCCCTTATTTCTTAGTATTTTCATTTGTTAAACCAATACAGCCCAACAGAAATAAAATGCAAACCACATATTTTAAGTTTTCTAGTAGTCACTATGTTTAAAAAGGTAGAAAGAAATAGGTAGAATCAATAACATTTCAGTTAGCCGGGCATGGTTGGCACACACCTATAATCCCAGCACTCAGGAGGCTGAGGCAGGAGGATCATTGCAAGTTCAAGACCAGCCTGGGCTACAAAGCTCAAGGCCAGCCTGAACTACATAGCGAGACCCTGTCTCAAAAAGACAAAAAAAAAACAGTTAACAGAAAAGTATGTAAGATATCTCTAAAATGTGATTTTGTGTTGTGCATGCCTTGTTTTTAGCAGTACTGGGGTATACACGTGTGCACCATCACATCCAGCCGCAACATGTAATTTTTTTTTTTTTTTTTTGAGACAGGGTCTCACTATGCAGTTCAGGCTGGCTTTGAGCTCACTTTGTAGCCCAGGCTGGTCCCGAACTCACAACAATCCTCCTGTCTCAGCCTCCCGAGTGCTGGGATTACATGTGCGCCACCATGCCCAGCATATAATTTCTTAAAGTTTGATCTGTGAGCAGGGCATGATGGCACACACCTATAATCCCAGCATAGTGTGACTCTGGCAGGAGGATCACAAGTTTGAGCCCAGCCTAAAAGATTTTGCAAGACTTTGGC